CGATATATCGGTTTTTCGTGGGGCCGCCGACACAGGTATGCCGAGCTTAGAATGGCCTTGCCCGTGAGCGGAATCGCGGAGAATTTTCTGCAAAGCCGCGCACGAGGTGTCATGTGATAGCTTCCACAGGCCTTCCTCGACTCTCTCTCTTCGGTAGTTTCCGTTCCCTCGTCGCCCTCTCTCTGTTTCGCGTCATTTTTACGCAGACGCGTAGGGTACTAATTTGTCAGGACTCGCAACATGCGCTTCTTGCCTCGAGATTTTCTTCTTCGCTTGCTCTTCCCACTCCCGATGTTACAAATCAACCAGCCGAACGGTATAAACGTAGTTTAGTACGAATAAGAATTTTTTTACGTTTATAAAGTGTTTCTTTAAACGAAAGATCTCGCCAAAAGGGTCTATACCTCTCAGACAGCCGAGCTCCATTACCGCTAACAGTATATGGAATCCTCGGACAATTATCCACCTAGGAACCTGCACACTTTCCTCCCATCCGAGACTCCCAACGCTCCTATCTGCCTTGTTCCCGACAGTTAAGCCGCGACACCCGGCGACATTAGTTCCCATCAAACAAACAGAACGGCTAAAATTCTTTCCCAGCACGTCCACACCGGTGCTATAGAACGTAGGTAGTTTGAGTCGTGCAGTAATCGTATCGTAATGCATCCCCCCCGATACGTGACGATGCTGGGCTCTTCGCAGCTTCCGTTTCCCGTTGCAAGCTTCGGCTTCTCTGCTGCGTGAGTCCTCGCTGAGAGAAATCGCGCCGCTGGCAATTAGCATGCTTCTGGAACAAACGAGCCATCCTATCTGGCTAATGCCTCGATATATCGATCCTACGAGGCGTACGAATAATTATCAGCCGAGAAGTTCGTGGTAGCCAGTTGCGACGAACTCACGACGTGGTTACAACCAAGACGACGACGACGTTTGCTACCTTGGACGCTACTTTAAAGGCGACGAGAAGAGGTGTATACCGAGGTGTGATATAGTTGCCTGAGTGCATACACACACATGGCGTCACACTACTCCTCCTCCTCCTACTCTTCCTTCTCTTTTCTTCAGTGTTCGATGCGATCGCGTGGAGTAACTCAGGGACTGGCGGCCGCTTCTTCTCCACGGCCCCTAGGACTGAATTATGGCCCATGGCCCCGGACACTCGCCAACACGCTTCGTCGTTTAACCCCTTGCCCGATCCCGAGCCCCGAAGCGCATTCTTCCCGTCCTCCCGCTTTTCTCGCGGACCTCGTGGCGGATTCTTACGATTCCCGGTGAGAACCACAGGCTCGACAGTATATCTGCCGCCCCGTGCGCTCTTTGCGCCCTTCTTCTCTGCCGGTTAACTCGCTAAAGGGGACATACTGAATCTTCCCCAAGTCCAGAGACTTTACGTACACACGAGCTTAGCGACAGAAAAATACATATAAGCAAAACGACGATAGAATTCAGCTCTCCTTTTTTCCTTTCACCTTACACACCATTAGGAAACGTAGGAAGTAATAGTGGAGGAAAGCATGGTGAAATAAACCGACAAACGCGTATCGGCGAAACATCGATTTCGATCGATCATCGAGCGACCGCGATTAAAATATCAACCGGTGTAAGCCGCGCTAGCTTACAATCATCCTGGCGCGCGCGAGCCTGCGTATTAGCAAACCGTGGGCTCTGAAAACGCTCGCGGAAGAGAAGGGCAACAAAACAGCCGGGCAAAGCATCCCTATCGAGTTTTATCTCGTTTCATCGAAATACGGTGCCGCTTGGTTTCCAACGCCTGTATATATATCCAAATGGCTGCACGAATCCTCTCTCTTTCTCTGTGTTATCCTGCAGGGCGGTTTCGAAAGCGTCAGACGGAATCGGGACACACGCATTAACGCCGCATCTCTCATAATGCTCTCTGGTTGGGTCACGTTTTTCCATCCCCGGTCGCACAATGCGCAGCCCTGCTTTTCGACAATATGTTCAGGGCCATCGAAACGAGGCGAATGGACGGACGGATGGATGGATGGATGGACGAACGAATGGGGATGTGTTCCGCACGGGGGTTTGTTTAGGCTGCGCCGCGCGAAAGCCACTCAACCCGCTAATCTATTTAGCCGTGCTGTTTGATATGGAATTAATGAGGACCCCCTGGTATTATGTACGGCCCTGATTTTCGGTTTACCTTCCGCTGTGAAAAGGGGAGAAGGCTGTGCTTCTCTCTGCCTTTTCACGCTGGAAAAGTCCTTTTTTCGGGGTGTGGCTCGGTGGTTCCGTGCAGCTGCTCTCCTGTCAACGATTATCAGCCTCGAGAACGTATTACCAGAGGCGTGTTATTGTTTCGTAAATCGGAAACAATCCCGCTGAAGGGGCAGGTGTGTGTGTTTTTAAGGTGTTCGCAAGGGGGCAGTCTCTCTCTGTTGGCTTCTCTCATGGAAGCTCGAGATATCGCGAGGGGTTATTTGGTACGTTCGAATGAGAGAAAGTTGCTCGATTAATATGGAAATGTTACATCGTTTATTGGCGTGTTCAGATAACGCCCCGGGTAAATTATTCCAAGACCCGAGTTCTCTCGAGGGAACTTATTAAAATCACCGAACGTTTAGCATGATTTGCGACAGTTTCAACGATGGATAGATAGACTGTTACTTCGGTGTGTTTTATCACCGGTGGATCCGGTCGATCGATCCGAGAACCGTTCAGCCAACCGGACCAGAGGAGAACACGATATCGTGCATTGCTTCTGTGTATGCGTGTGTGTATACATAGGTTTGCACACGTTTCATAACGTGTTCGATCAATTTTCTCGCGATCAGCCTCCATTAATTCGCTCTTAACGAGCAAACGGAGAAACGTTCTCTCCTCGATCTGCGGCAAAATCGGGACTCCGTGGGCTGTGCGTACAGTTCGCGTGCAATCCCTCCGCAACTGGAGAACGTGTAACTCGCTGAGAGATCGAGTGACGATTAAAACGCGTCCAGTCTCGTTGATGCCTCGTTTCCTGACGTCAGCGAGTCTTTCTACTCTGATACCAGCCTCTTCTGGTACCTGCTAAACTTTGCTTATGTTAATACAGTCTTCGTAACTTATCTGTGTCTGCCTGTGCATGAAACGTACGTGTAGAGAAACATGACGAAGGAGAGTGAGACGTGACGCGTAACGCGTTGTCGAACCAGTGTCTACAAACGTGAAAACATTCACGGCTACGAGTTTTCCCGATTTCGTAAGCGTTTAATGGCGACGATTACGCGGTAGCTCCTTCGGGCTGACGAACGTCGAGAGTAAATCTGGTTTGGTCGCAAGTCGGTCAAGAGAGAGAAGAGGGGGTTGGTAAATGTTAAGCACGCGATAAAAAA